AAAATAAGTTAGGCAAACAGAGAGTAAATATAAATTATAAAACAAATACTCAATCAATGAATATATCTTAAGCTTAAACCAATATTTAATATTCTGACTTTGAGAGCTACTACATGAATCCCAGTTACACTGGAGCACCATTTTGTTTAGAGACGCAGGATCAGTTTGCGGTTAGTGAACGAGAAGCTGATGACACCCGATGGTTTCACACTGTCATGTAGCCTTTACTGGTTTCCTCAAACGTGGGTGTTCATGTGGAACAAAATGTTCTTGCTAAATATGGCTGATTTTCAGTGATCAGCCCACACACAACGTCTACAGTAAACATGTTACAGAACCGCACTCACACCTGTCAGATCTGTTGCTCACCAGCTGTTCCTTTTTAACGAAACTCGTACCTATTGTAAATGAAAGCCCATTTGCACCAGGGGAAAAATTATGAAATGTAAAAATAAAGTTTCTGAATCGATATTGGGCAACACAAGCTAACGGTTTAACTGGCATAGTTACAATTATAAGGCTTTTGCAAGACACAATTATGATATTCCTGGGAGATTTCATTGAATTAGACAGATACAAAAAGGGAGAGAACAGGAAATAAGGGAAAAGCTAGATTGGTAATGATATGCAACATAGAGAGTTGGCACCTTCATCTCTAGGCCATCAAGGCACCCCAAGAGAATTTAACAGCATGTTTTTCATTTCATTTTAGAATTTGTAAGGCAAAATTCAGATTTCTAAGTAAAATTATCAGATATTTAGAAACTGTTCAACAATTCTGCCCTTTTACACAGTACTGTACCAAGTCAAAGTAGAACTTACAATGTCAACATGTGTGTAGATGTGTGTATATGTATCTGTGTATAAATTGTTCTCTCACCGTTGAACTCTTTTTGGTGCTGTTACAAGACTGGCTGGGTTTTGAGACACGTCGACATGACTGATCGGCCCCCTTCACTGCCCACGAATTAGCAAAATCATAACTGTCACCTGTTAGGAATCCTGAAAACACACACACACACACACACACACACACACACACACACACACACACACACACACACACACACACACACACACACACACACACACACACACACACACACACACACAACACACACACACATAACCGAGTTGACAGATTTCTCCTTAATCTCATCCTCCCACTACTGTTCCTCTTGCTTTCTTTGACCTTGTTATCTTTTCCTGTACTGAGCTGCTACTCTTCCTGTTGCTGAGTGCTGGTGACTCAAATCCTTTCCTTGATTCCAGTAATAATGAACTTGCCCTTGCTTTGCTCTCAAACATCCGAATATCCCAGATACAAAGTTACAGATTGTTGATTTTACCCCTTTGTCCTGAATGATCTTACCCTCTTGCGCAGTATATTCATCAGCTGATGCAGAGTTGAAGTTGCCACAGAGGCCACAGGTGCGGTTTGCATGGTGTTTGGTCAGTGTCAAGGCGATGTTGGCTGCATTATCAATGGTAACAGTGAAGCCAAACTCCTCACTCCAGAGCTTATAGAAGCCGAGCTCAGAGCCCACAAACACAGCGTGAGATGCGTAGGGCACAGATAGTCTGCAAAAAAGGAGACACACTATGGGGTGATTTTATTTTTTCGACTAAGACAATTTGATTACTCACATAATTATATTATTTTTACATGACTACTTAAATATTCTCTATCTCAACCTTTTTTCTCCTTGTGAGAGCCGTCCGTCTACAGACAGGTGCAGCTCGAAGGCATCCCCCAGAAACAGAGTGACTCCAGTTCTTTTGCCATTGGCAAAATCACCTATGGGTTGAAAATACATTTAATTTATTATGAAACCTTCAACCGACAATAACAGTTTGAAATAACATAATGATAACAACGATGATCTCTGGGTCATCAGTAAATTAAAAGGGAGAGAAAATGAGTAAGCTTTTTAAATGTCAGTGCAAGTACTTAGACTGTTTAAGCACACATATCCCAGTGAGAATCAAACCCATGGCTGTGACTATGCACAAGCCACTGATCTGCACTGGATGAGCATCAGATGCCTGTAGAATTTAAATCTATTTGTTTTTTATTGAACTGTCTGAGTGTGACTCACCCAGCAGTGTGAAGGAGCGATGTCTGCAGTCTCCAGCCAGCAGATAGCTGCAATCTCCAGGAAACTCATATAAAACTCCATCAAACGTGTGCACGTAGTCCCGTCCGAAGAGACTGCATCTCCCTGTCAAAGCTGCCACGCAAGCTGAACACATGCAAAAGACACAATATGCAACTGTCAGTGAGAGTACAAAAAGAGGAGATCTTATATGAAACATTTCGCATATTATTGGTCTATAAGAGAGTTTTACCTTTAAGTGCAAACAACAAAAATAAATTAATAACCTTCAGATACTCACATGTCAGATGCAGTAGAACCCAGATTTCTCGCAAATACCGCCTCATACACAGCTGAAACACATGTAGATATGCTCTCCATTATCATGAGCATCACATATATCAGAATCACACATTACTCTGAGTTGTCTGCCGGCCTGTTTTAATAACAGTAATAATCTTCAATTCTCTAAACTGCAGCAAGTCCTACCTCCATGTCTCCAGTTAATCCACAGAGTTGCAAAGAAAAGGCAAACGCAATCCACAATTTTGACCTCACACAGTCATGTCATAATGATCGGTGTGTGAGGGTCGTTGTCCAACATTCAGAACTTGGTAAAATGCTCAACCTGCCTGGAATCTATTTTATAGGAAAGAGCATACCACCGCCCAGCCGCCAAAGCTGGCCTTTAAGACCCCCGCCCTCGCCAGGTTTATAAAAAAGGGCCGACTATGACTCAGTCCAAATCTTACTGCCTGCAGACTGACACCATCAAACACACTCAGCAGGACAATACCAGGATATGCCCACTGATCGCCTGGCTGAATGATTAGTCTACACATACGTATCTGTATCGACGCCAACCCAAACAATCCTTTTGGAAAACACACTTACTGGAGATATCTCACGCAATAACACTGTTGTGGTGGTAGACATGCACAAACACAACACTGAACTCTGCCAAAATCTCTCTCACACACACCACACACACACACACACACACACACACACACACACACACACACACACACACACTGGGAAAGTGTATGGGTCAACGCTCTCAGGTGCAAACTTTACGTACGTATAAAAAAATGGTTCTTCCTTTCTTATTCGTGACTAACTATTAATAATGAATCTGTAAACTCTAAGTAAATCATGTATGCATGGATAAAACCATTAGTTTAAATTCCTAAACCCCACATTGATAGGTAAATTAGGGGGTGGTTCAACATTCTGATGCAGACCACAAAACACACATGCACACAATATAATTACCAAAATGAATGATATTGACTATCTGGTGTTTTGAACTGAAGGATAATTCTGGTCACTTTCTGTATGTTTGAGGAATTTGTCTGGGGGAGATGCACAGCTCGTGCACCGTGTTCATTCATGTACAGTATATTCAATCCCTGAAAGCGCTTTTTCTATTCTGGGAAAATTACGTCATCCCACAGCACATGGTGCTGCAGGAACTTGTGGTCAAAAAGCCCACCGCAGGCTGCTGTGCAGGGCTCTGATGTACCATTGTATGAAGCAAAGACGCACGCTGAGTGCAGACTTTAAGGTTTTCTATCAGAGCTACAGGATAACAATTAAAAATGGTGATGTTCTCTGTAATCCTATTTGGACAACCAGAGATAGTCTCACTCGTGCACTAAATCCCCACTTAGTCTCGCAAACTGCTATGTCAATCCCCTCTAAAAGAATATGATAACTTTAGCAAACATTTCCACAAATGCCAACGTCATTACATGATTGATAACTCACACAAAAAACCCTCCAATAATTATCAGCCCTTTAATTTAATTTAATGTAGATGTCTTTGAAAAATCTAATTAGAAATGTAACATGTAAAAGCATAAAGTTAAAATGTTGTGATACATTTAAAAAAAAGTCTACAGGGGGCTGTGCAGACAGTGGGGGCGGACCACTACAGGCGCGCACAGCACGGTGCGCGTATCAGTGCGACGCGTCGGCAAATAACCTCAATCTGCATACTGACTGTTATTTCGAAGGTCTTCTTTTCTACTGAGTGTTTTAATTGGTGCTACCAGCAGAAGTGAGATAGATCAAGCACCGCCATGGCTGCACTGTCGGGGGGAGAGATGTGCGTCAAATACCTGATGTTCGCCTTCAACCTCGTATTCTGGGTGAGTTTGAAGCGATAAATTGTATTCTTCTTAAAGAATAAATTATACACCCTGTCTGTGTGAGAGAGAGAGAGAGTGTTGCGTGCATGCGCGTTCGTGTGTGAGCCGGTTACTATCGTGAATGAAATAAGACGACGTCCCAGATGCAGGATCGTACTGAGTGCTCACAGTCTCGGTTACTGTTATCAGAGTATATCCTCGAGGTGTCCCTGCATTATTTTGGGCACTGACCACAACTAAATACAAAGCGTCCCAATACGCGTGCAGACCGAGAGGGCTGGACGAATAATCCCCGGTGGCCAAGTGACCCAGTTCCACCGTGCAGACTACTCTTTGGAGTTTGCGCGCACAGCATTTTAATAAATGCAATGGGGGGGAGGGGGGCGCTTTATTGTGGTGGAGAATGTCCCTGATATTATAATAATGAACGCTTCTTCTTCCTCACGTGATGTGAACAATTGCGCATGTCAGGGAGTGAGTGTGTGAATAAATCCTAGATATCCCATGGAGGCTATTTGTGTCCAGCTAAGCCTGCAGGGTGTGTCTGTCAGTTTGTTTGTGGTGTGTTTGTGTGTGTGGTTTCACATGAATGCTTTGCCCATTTATGAACGTTTATTATGTGTGCAGTGCAGCTATAGATAGAGCCTAGAATAACCATCCATTACAGGGCAGGGATTTCCCAAAGTGTGTGTGTGCTTATGTGTGAGATGCAAATAACCCAGGCAACACAACCAATTATGGGTATTACAAATGTGCAAAAAATCCACTATACATTGTAAAAATCACCAGTGTCTGTAAATAATAGCAGTAAGAAGCCAGGATGGTGACCATGAATTGAAAATGCATGTCCTTGATTGAATTTAAATTAATACAAAAATCCTGCTCAAACATCCCAACCCAATGAAAGTGCAGACACTTCCCATTTGTGTTGGACTGAGCAGGAAGTGAATATATGATACACTGGTCATTATGCAGCCACATATCACATGACACAGATAATCTGGAAACAACAAGAGTGTCTATGTGCATCGTTGTGTCAGTGCATCAAGTTTCAAGGGGTTAACAGACCTTGGTTTCAATAAAACAGCTTCTGTGAGACATAGGTAGTAGTCACATTTTAGAGCAGTCTAGTAACTGTGCACACAGTTCAGATAACAGAGCAGGTAATATGCTGCTGGGCAGGTATTTAAAAACGTTTTTGGTTAACATGCCTAGACAGAGCCCTATGTCCTACTTCCTGCTATATGCAAATGTATGTACCAGCATACTGTAACTTTCAGAAATGCAGAAGTTAAAAACACAAGCTATGTGTGTATAAACATGGGACAAAAGAGAGGAAGGAACACAGGCAGGAGTTCATATCACATTAAACAATGGAGGTCAGATTTTTGAGTAACACGGCTCTCTTGCCAATCCCTAACTGTAGAAGTCATGTGATTTTATGAAGGCGTGGTAATGAAAACGATCTCTCCTTTCACCACGTTTTTTTTAAACTGACACCATTATGTTTGACTGCCTCCTGGGAAGCAGATAGTTAAAAATCACTCAGAGCTGTGAACTGTGTTGACTGGATCAGCATGGTTGTCGTTGGGGGAATCAAGTGTGTGAAATATCTCATGTTTGTCTTCAACTCTTTCTTCTGGGTAGGTGTGCTTTACTTTTAATCATGTGGTGTTGGATTGATTGTGTGTGAGAACGAGAGAGGAAGGAAGAGGTGGGACTACTGGACTAGTACACATTTGTTCTTTGCTCTAACCTGCTCTTTTGTTTACACAATGGAACATAAAACATCCTAGAATAAAGAGTATGTAAAAGTCATCAACAGAATGGCCAAATATACACAAACACACTTGGAATTAAACAGATTGCCATCTTTCGGTTTGACTTTTAAAGTTAAATATTCACAGACCTGTGTATGCTGCCAAGCCCTGTAAGTGAGTCAATGTGTAGCACATTGCACAATCTCTGGTACCATGAAGGGACGTGTGCAGTGTAAAATACACACCTTTATTCTGTTTGGTTACATGCTATGCACAACATCAGTGCTGCAGAATATATGTACATACATAATAACATGCAGGCATCTATGTGTTGATGGATCGACATGCTACTTTGTGCCAATATTAAATACACATGTTGATGTATAAGCAAACATGTGAACAATACAAACACAAAGGGTCCTTGTTTTTACGCAGTTAGATGAGCAAATTACAGCCTTTCCTGCCTCCATCAATATGTTTTAATACATCAATGTGTTCTATACACTATAATATCAAAGTCTCATTATTGAGGAGTTACAAATGTCTGTCCCCCGACCTATACTTTTTAAGAGTTGAAAAAAGGCATTTTCAATAGATTTGTTGGAAATGTTGTGGGTGAAGAATTAGATATGACGGACTGTGGAGACCTCTTCCTCGACTGATAACTGAGAAAAACATGTAACAATTAGACCACAAGAATGCTTAGTTAGTACATGTTTTAAATGATAACTGGAAGCAGAAACATTTTAAAATTCAGACAACACCAAGTAAACTGGTGTGGTAAAATCAAAATGAAATACACAAGATGTCAAATGGCATATTGCATAAATATGGAGAGTGCTTATGAATGACAAGAACTTCAGCTTAGTTTCTCGCTAATATAATTGAAATGTACTATCAGGTTGACTGTGTACATCGTGCATTTAGTGGTATGATAACTAACTGCAGAACTGTTTGTGAAAATAAACATGATGTTGTGTTTCAGCTTGCAGGCACTGCTGTCTTCACTATAGGCCTGTGGCTGAGATTAGACCCACAGACCAAAGGCCTGTTTGAAGAAACAGACTCTCCAAATGTGTTTTACACGGGTAAGATTCCCTCTGTCCTTGAGCTGGAACATTATCCCTTATCATTTAAGCAAAGTTATATTTTGGATTATGTGAGCGCTGCAAAATATGCTTGTATATGTCTGTGATTCTCTGTATCTGTGTGCAGGTGTATATATCCTGATAGCAGCTGGAGCTCTAATGATGGTGGTGGGTTTTCTGGGCTGCTGTGGGGCCATCCAGGAGTCCCCCTGTATGCTGGGAATGGTTTGTACCATCTTTTGTGTTCTGCACTTAACTAACATTAAACGTAAACTATTTAAAACAGTTTCTTATACTATATCCGGGTCTATATGTATTTGTCACAATCTTACTCAGCAGCATATGGCCTTGTTACTGAACTTAAGCAAGTGTGGATTGTAGACCGACATTGGGCTCTCCAAGAAATATAAGCTACATTCATCTTTGTTTACTGAACAGTATCAAGGCCAGAGAAGAGTCTCTAGATTTCGCAGCACTTGTCTCTCCCCGTCTCTCCCCCTCCCTCCCTGTCTGGCCCTAATCTTCTTGTACTAAATCTCCCAGGAGGAGGAGCCTGTACATTAGGTTCAGCTACACTCAAGTGACCTTGTAACTTGTTCACACATGCATTCAAAAGACATGCGCACACGCCTGCACACATTCAAGCAATCAAAAGAGTTTCATTTTGTCTATCTCTTTGCAGTTCTTCTTCTTCCTACTTATCATATTTGCCATTGAAGTTGCGGCTGGTATCTGGGTATTTTCCAACCAAAGCAAGGTAATGTACAAGTTTATGTAATAATTATTCATTTATTTGGATAGAACTTTTCTACAAAGCTACAAACATGAATGGTACCACAATGAATGTGAGTTATGTGTATAAAGTATTATTTTACCGTCTTGCTGCTGTTTTTCAGGTGGTAAACGACATCACATCATCCTACATGCAGACCTACAAGAAGTTCAAGATGCCAAATTCAGATAAGAGACTCAGAGACACTCTGCGGATGATTCAAACTGGGGTGAGCCATGTCTTTTAGTTTCAGCTTCATACTAATTCAGGTAGACTTAGATCTTATCTTAAAATAACTTGACACGCAATATTTCCTTAAAGCAATGTATTCCCATGGGAAAGTTGTCAGTGCCGCCTAATATTAAGAAAGTTTAGGATGATTAGAAGTTGTAAATTCAGCAAAATACCACATTTTAGGAAAATAAGCACCTGTACTTTCTTTTTTAGTGAGCCCGGAGGCAATTATCCTACAGCATATCATCTAGGGGGAAACAGCTAGTCTAAACACGCACTTACATAACTTCTTAACAGCATGAACATGTTGGGTTCCTTTAATCTCTGCACCAATAGTTATGTAAGAAAAATTATAGGTTATTTTGGAGATCGGTTATTTTGGACAGTGCCTCCACCAGTTGACTAGCAACCTCATTGTGATAACAACATAACAATTGTAACAAGAATGTTCCTTTAAAATACTTTAAGTTATAGATGTCTATTCCCTCTGCCATCTTGTGTTCTAAAGGCATGACTTTTTTCCACAGCTGAACTGTTGCGGGCCAACTGGTACGGTAGAAGAGGCTGACAAAGACACCTGTCCCCAGGGAGAGCTACTTGAGGAGCTCATTACTAAGGTACAACTACTCTGAATGTTTGTATAGATTGGATGCCAACACAGATAGGTACTTCAGTCAAGAGCTAGAGAAAGAACATCATATTTCAATAGCAAAGATGATCCATAACTTCTAAAAGCTGTTAGGAAGCAATTACGTTACTGTATGTCAAATAATTGTCAAACGTGGGCCATAGGTTATCAGTCTTTCCTTTGCACACTAATTTCCTCAGCCTCTTTGCAGTGTAACTATGGCAACACTGGTTTACCAGAGCCTGTATGCTCTCAGGCTGTCTGTTAAGTGTGCAATACCACACGTCATGTTGTTCAGCATAGGCTTAGAGGAAGCTGAAAGGAATTATGCTGGTGTGTTGCAGAGCTGCCCTGATGCCATTGACGAGGTGTTTGACTCCAAGCTACACATCATTGGAGGAGCCGGCATCACCATTGGGGTTGTTATGGTAAGTGTGGGATTTACTGTAACTCATCAAGTTTAAGTGTCAGCTGCCCTGGAGGATGAGCGCAGGGCAGAGGTGAGTAAAGAACAAACACAAGTAATGTATGTCTCTCTTTCTTTTGCAGGTGTTTGGGATGATCTTTAGCATGCTCCTGTGCTGCGCCATCAGGAAGTCTCGGGAGGTGGTGTGAGTCCCACCATCACATCCTGGAGTCCTTTATTAATATTGCATGATGCTATTCCTAGAGTCACATGACTCTCCACTGCCATAAACACTGCTTGTTCAAGTGGGACAATCTAAGATAGGCTGTGTGCGGATATCTCTGATTATTAGATAATACATCAGCTATAACTGCGACTGACACTTAGGCCCACCCTTTCTGGACTATATAGATGCAATGTGGTTATAAGGCCCAACTATAGAATGGGTGTCATCTGTGCTTCAGTGGAAATGTATTGAAGACATAATTGTGTGGTCATTTGACTGTAATTAGTGTTTGTGAACTGCTAATTATCTAAACAAAAGATCATATTATTGTATATGGATCACATTTCTATTGCCATCACTTGACAGCCAGAAGAATCATGGATCAGGGCCTCAGAAAAGGCCACCACCATCCAGCAATAGCCAATGAAATTCTACAGTCCTTTTTTTTTACAACACAGATATAAAACTATGGTGACTAGTAGCCGATTCAATGCTAAGCTGGGAACTGCGGTCAGTGCGGTTCACCTAGCTCGGTATTAGAGTAGCATCTCGGTTTCTACATTGTGACATTTTATTTGTACCCTTCCTATTGTCTCTATCCATAACATGCCCTTTCTAAAAACGCCTTTTCATTTTTTGTCAAGTTTTGTAAATGTCTTTTTTTATTTGTAAAAGGTTTATACACATAGATGGTTGTATGGTACATGTGTTTTAACTGTGATGGTGTATTTTATAATGTTCTTTCCATGTTACATAGACTGGACTTGATTTATACCATATGCACTATGTTTCACAGAGACAAAATGAATGAGAGCCTAATAAAATTAATTGTACTGACTCTGAAGGTGTTTTGCAATGGCACGCAGTTACTCACACAGCGAACGTCATGTTGCTGTAGTTTTACTTTAAGCCATTTCTCAGAAGGTCACCGAGTTAAATACATTAACTACAAGAGCAAATTCTTCACTATTAAAATAAGATACTATCAAACTGACTTTCCTTGGCATGGTTGGATTTAGTGGTGCAGGATATAGGGGAATGCAGGGGTTAGATGGGTGGACGTGCCTTGATAAGACTCAAAACAACATCCAGGATCTAATCTGTGTGCGCAATGGAAAAAGACATTCTTAATACTCCTCCCAGCTTTCCTTTCTTTGATATTCATGGCCATCAAGTGTGACTCATGTACAGTTTGATCCAAGCCAAGAAGTGTTTTTGTTTTCCTAGTCATGCCATCACAATCAATCCAAATATGTGTTTCAAAACAAGGCGTATAGACAGATTACAGTAAACGGTGCACAATTATGTATGGTAGTGAGTCATGTTATTTCTAATGACTCACTTTTTCATCCAAAAAGAGGTGAGAAAAGTTAGTTTTCCTCTGATTATAGCACAAGGAAGTACCCTTTGATTTGGTTGTTGACAGCCGGGTGTTGCCCTCTCAGACACCCCACCCCCACTATGGAGATAACGCTGATTATAAAAAGAACTATGTTCATATGTGAGACATGTCTCCATGTTGTTCTGTGTGTATGGCTCTTATGTAACATGATGTCTACTGGCCAAAGGAAGAGGGCAGGAAAAACGAGATAAGGAAGAGAAAAATAGGAACCACGATGAAAACTCAAGAGAAAATATGCCAACATCAACATTAACTCTACCACACTTCTACACATAAACACAGTATATAAAGACTAAATGATATGATAACAATTGCCCATTCTGTCAAATACAGAGACTAAGACTAAGTTGTTTGATGTTTTCTTTGGTGTTGGTAAACCTAGCCTTGATTGGACTGATTGGTGAAGAACCACTGTAACATTTTACTAGCCAAAAACTGAACCATACAACAGTGCTGCCATGAAATGTAATTTATTATTACAGTGCATTTCAAATACATGTATTACTAATATTGCTAGAGCAATCTGCAAAGGATCTCCTTCCACCTTTTGAATGATACAAAAATATATTAATTATTTTACCTTTTGGATACAATACAATCTCAGTCTTCAGTCTCGTCGTCTGTGTCCTCCCAGGAAGTGTTAGCAAGTCTGCGTGACTGAGTGTGTGTGTGCAGCACGGTGTCTACATGGAGAATACTTGAGAGACACTGCAGAACAGCCAGAAGTAGCTGGTATTTACAAGACACAGATTCAAGGCCGGAGTCTGACATGAACAGTTTTGCTGACACGTCAGCCTCAGTAAAACGATGCTTTGTTAGTTTATCCTCCTCTAGAGGAAATGCACTTTCCCCAAAGATTGATCTGTGCTCTTGTTTGTAGACAAGGCTAAATGGGTGCGAATGGTTTTGAATAATAGTCTGGAACCTTGCTTGAGCCTGCAGGAAATGTCTTGGACTGTGGGAATAAATCTGTCTGGGCACAATCAGTAGAGCATTTGCCAAGAGCTGGGAAACAGCAAGGCCACTTGTAACTGTGTCATCAGAGGCTGAGCAACTGGTGCCATTTTGTAGGAGGGCATGGTGTAAGAGAAACTCGAATGTCCCACCAGCAGGTATGACATAACCTGGCTGCAACCCACACTGCTGGAAGGGAGGTACATTGGGGATCTGATCCACATGTGAATAAGTGCTTTTGGTTGACTGCAAGGTCCTCTTTGAGGCTGTGGTTGCAGTCATACCCATGGGCTCCCATGTTGAAAGGAGCATGCGGATGGCGTCTCGAAATGCACATGTATACTGGTCAGTTTGTCCTTCCCCTAGGCCACAAATGACCAGACTACATGGTTTGACCGTGACCCTTTCCTCTGAATCATTGAAAGCCACATGGACATACCTGTGGGAGAAAAAGTTACATTTTAACATTCATGAATCAAAGAAGATTGAGAAAATCAAAACAATATACATGTATGTTAAATCAATTATTATCTATGATAATGAATTGTATGCATTTTTCTGACTTTTAAATATACATGTTATATGAGTGGCAAAGAGACATGTTTATACCTATGGGCTCCCAGCAGAATTGGTCTACAAAAGGTCAGCATAGCGACGTGCTCTGGTTCAACCATCCAGCAGTCTGAGACAGGTGTGGCCCCACTTAGCTGGGTAAAGAGAGACAGCTCATTTTCACTGACACACTCCACAACGCACATCTCTGCCTGTGCAGCTAAAGACAGGACAGCAGCCGACTGTTTCACTGCAGACAGGATCACAGAGACACCCAAACTCTGCAGGTTTGCAAAGACACACTCCAGGGACCTTTCTGTCCAGGCGCTAAACTGCACTATACTACTGTTGTTCTTTGAATTCTCCTCCATCCATTGCTCTCCACATCCCAGCTGCAGCACTTGTCCTGCATTGAGCAATTTTGGCTGTAGGTAACCAGAGAAAACTGCAGCTTTAACTGTCTTTTGTTCAGTCTGAGGGCACGGTGTAGCAAAGTCTCTGTGAATGACTTGCCCCTCAATCAAACGTGAACAACTGATAGGGAAGCCTGACACAGGTGTGTGCAATGCATCCAAGTTGTCATTTACAAACTCAAGTGATAAGGAAGGCTGGTCCCTTTTAAACTTCCAGTGAGTCAGCAGTTCACAGGTTAGTTTGCTTATAAAGTCACAGTGGGAACGACCCAGACGTGAATGAAAGAATGATGTCAGCAGTTTTTGAACACAGTCATTGTTTGAGGGTCCTGGTAAATGTTTTTTTGCAGTGAAATCCTCCCATGACAGACAGCATCCATATGGCATCACTCCCATGGCTATGAGATCATCTAGCTCCTCCAATGCAAATGCCAGAATGTTGTCAGCCAAGTGCCTGGCAGTTGAAGCCTCTGCCGTTTGCCTGGAGGTGTAGGTGTGGGACACATTAGGCTCCTTGCAGGCCATTTTATGAATCATCCGTAGTAATGAAGCTAGCAGTAGGATAAACGTCTTGGATCCATCGCCTGTTACAGTGCTGTGTTTCAAGACGCACTCCACCACCATCCTAAAACCAAAAACACACAAATATATAAAAAATATAAAATGTCACTTGTCGAAGACTATCATAGTGACAGAGTGTGTGTGTTACCTGGCCAGTGGATGCTCAAGTCGTAGCGCAGTGAGAATGCGAGCCCCACTGCGGCTCAACATCGCCTGTCCCGTGTCTCTGGTGAACAGAACCTGTCCTCCTTCAGGGCCAAAACTGCGGAGGACAACTGACTCCAACACACACACAGTCTGCACAACATGATCCAGATGAAGACGCTCCACTGGCGGCATCCCTGCAACCTGAAAGAAACATAAATATCAATTGCAAGAGAAAATATACAATTTACAAACAGGAAACAGAACTTTTTCCAAATATGCTTTTGGTATTTCATAAAAAGCAACAGGACATTTAAATACTACTGCCTGAAAACTCTACAGATGGGCTTGAAATTCCAACAATATAATGTATGCAGCACAGTTTTAATTTACAAACATTTGACACAGGATGGATTTCAATTTAGGGTTACAGTCTTACATCTCACGTTTGGATTAATAATGTAAAAAATAATCAACACTTAAATAAGACTTTAGTTACACCTGGAGTAAATTCACAAGCTACAAAGTAATATAAATTAGCTGCCCCTTTACCACATTTAAATAAACACATCAATATCAAAACATATGCCAAATATTATTCTGGGATGGGCCAATTTGCATAAATACTACTTTTACTTTCGGTAAATAAGGTATAATTACGAGTCAAACCTTTGTACTTTTACTTGAGTAACATTTTGATTCCAGGACTTTTAACTCTAACAGAGTATTCCTACACTGTGGTACTTCTACTTTTACTTCTTCCACCTCTACTACTCAGCGTCAGTCAATGTTCACTTTGAAAAAATCAGTGTAAAGTTAGTTTACTTGGTTAGCGTTATAAACTCGTATAACTATTTTCTGATCACTGCTAACAGCTAGAAGCTGCGTTGAAAACATTAGCATCTGCTAGCTAGCTGAATGAAATGAGATTAACCCTTCCGCACAGGGGCTTATTTTATTACAAACCCCAGATATAACATAAACGCACTAGTTTCTAGCTGCCAGTATGAACCAAACAAACAAAAATATTAGCCACAACACGATGTTTTTATCTCAGAGTACTTACCATCAGCCCAACAGGAACGCTTCCTGCGTATCCTAGAGACGAGGCTTCTTCTGTGGTTTGTTGTAGAGCTGTAATTCACATCAGAAGTGACTGCTGCCACCTAGCGTCAAGATGTTTTCTAACCCAACAACCAAGGACATTGGTATACTGTAAACACTTATGTACAAATTATTGTACCACAATTTTCCTTTTAAAATGCTTGTGCAAAAGTAATAAATACATTTAAGATTATTATGATATGATACTGCACATGACATGGGAGTGTCATGTGACTAAAATGCCTATTTAGTTTGTTGTTCAAATGAACAATTTCATAGTCTCTTTCATAATATGATAATATTGCTTTACATGGTCAATAGGAGTGGTGCTAGGTGTAGAAAAAAAAGCAAACACGTATGGGTTTCCTACAATGTCTTTTAAAAAGCTTTATGTCCACCATTAACACTCTTTGTCTCGAAGAAAGCACATAAATGAAGATCTGTTTGATTTCAAGAAATTCCTGAATGTTTGCAGAGAAGCTTTATATTCTTCGTTGAGATCAGATATAACATCACCAGACGTCAACAATATTTTTAAGTGTTTCATAAATTGTGCTGTTATACTGTTTATATGTAATTTGTTCTTAGGTCTCCCTTGTTAAAGAGATCATTATCAATGGGACTGGCTAGAACTAAATAAAGTTTATTTTCTACACATGAAAATGTACTAATGCTGAAAAAGTCAGCTGACCATACTGTCACATCATTATTAAAATAGCAGACTTTGGGAAGTGATAATCCATGTTGATCTAAAATGTTCCTGATCAGCAGAAACATGCATTGTGTGTATTTCCACATGTCAAGGACAGAGGTGATGTCACCCCACCCTCCCCTGCCCATCCCCCTCTCTTTCTTCCCTC